TGTATTAATAGTAGTATAGTTTTAGTTAAAATTAAATCAAAAGCAGTCGTAATACTTTTAGTACTTTAATAATGAGAAAAAGTTTAGGAAGCTGCTAAAACATAGCACAATCTTCAACATCAATATAGTTTACTATAAACTTTCATATTTTTCTTTCTTTTGATAGAAGAATCCAGTTCATCTATTTAAATTCCGTCTAAAGGTGACAACATTATCCTGCAGCTCCAGAATATAAATAACAAGATTAGATAAAAATATGAATTGCTATGTTTCTTGATCTACATATACAAATTAGAATTGAACTATTTTTTATTGCAAAACCATCTTCCTAATCAAATTTGAATTTTCTAACAATTTTTTGTCAAGTCACACTCTAGGCTGAAAGCCTCAATTGTGACTTCCACCACCGACTGCAATCCTTGAATACCAACCCAATTGATACTACAACACTTAGAGTACTTAAAAAACAAACAAAAATTAACTTTAGATTAAATATATACAAAATTTTATTGGATCCTTCAATTAAATTGAATAGGCCATAAAATAATTGCAAAAAGAAAGAAATGGAGAAAAATGGAGATACAAGAATGCCTAACTAGATTTATCTTGATGGAAACATCATATGATATATCTTTCTCCTAAAAAAATACACAAAATTGTAGAAAATTACAAAATGGAACCAAAAAAACAAAGAAAAGGAAACAAAATGTGAAGTCAGAAATCAAATCATGGGAGGAGAAAATAAAAGAATGAATTTTTGTTCTATTATTCTTAGAAAATGATCATTGGTATAAAATGAATTCTAAGATATTTTAATAATTCACCTTTTATCCATGAAGAACTCTAAAATAAAAACATCATCCTATAAATTTAACAAACAAATGCCAGTTGGCTATAATATTATGATAAAAAAATAGAGCAAACATGAGACATTAGAGATGAAGAAAAAAGGAAGAAAAGAAAATGTAAAATGGGATAAAAATAATAAAGAATTCTTTTTGCTAAGTAGCTATCATCTTGCCAAAAAAAAAAAAAAAAAGAACATGGCAACAATCTTAGTTAGATTAGTTTAAAAAAATAAAAAATAAAAAAGGTGAGAGATGACAGTAGTTACTGCAAGAAGTAAAAGAAGAGATGGAGTTAATTTTCTCAATGAGAAAAAATATTTTAATCCTTTAACCCAATTGAATCAAAAAAGGGAAGGAAAAATTTAGGTAAAATAATCAAAAGTCCACTTGTCAAAAATACATGCAATATATGTGTCAAAAAAATGGTTAGCTACAGTATCTTGGATTTCTTTTTATATACAAGATAGACATGTGCGATAAAAAGATAATTAAAAAACATGTTCACAGAAAACTTAAAAATTTATGATAAAAAAAAATTATTTTCATGGTAAAATGCGGGCTGCGGCTTTTGGTATTGTTTTCATGGGTCACGCAACTGCTCTGAGTGACTACTGGCTAGTGTACTAATGAGAAAGAAAAGAAACGGTCCAATGCCAGAAGCAAGAGAATGCTTCAGACAAGGCTTCAGACAACTTGTAGAAAATATTTTACCTTGCCACTTGTCAGACAATGAAAAAGCCACGTGACAAGAATAAAGGCAAACACTAAACCTTGCTCTTTTCTTATATACAAGGTAGATGTTTTCACCAAACGGGATATCTCCCAAAAGTAACGATGAATGACCATGAGAAAGACGCCACCTACTATTTGGAGCCAGCTTGGAATTGCAATATAATAGCTAGATCTCGGCCTTGTCAAGCCATCGCTTGCTGATCTAACGCACGGATTTGGCTTCAAACCTCTGACACGTGACAAATGCCAAACGCCTAGGAGTCGGCCCATGGCTCCCCTACAGATGTAACATTTATTTGGGACTATAAATATCCTCCATTCCGATACATCACAATCAAATCATTATTTTTGAAAATTTTAATTTTTGAGAGACATAACAAATAAATTGAGATGAGAAAGTAGCATACTAGAACTGTTTCGCTTGCATCATAAATAAAATTTTTAATTTATTTTTTTATATTTTTAACTATCTTTTTATTTCACATACATCACATCATAAAAAATATTATAATAATTATTTTAAATATATTTCAAATAATACTCTATCCAAACAAATCCTAGGCTTATGTTTGGATAATGTATTATTTGAAATATTATTTTGAATAATTACTGTAGCACTTTTTATGATGTGATGTATGTGATATAAAAAGGTGATTGAAAAATTTGGGATAAAAGCACTATCCAAACAAACCTAGATCAATGTTTTTTTTTTTTTTTGCATATTCTTAAAAAAGAATATCCAAGCATTTTAAAGGTAAATCCTTATTTCTTGAGGTTTAAGTGACCTCTAATTGAAGTTTCAAAAAAAAAAAAGGTGACCTCTAGTTGAACGGAGAAACGTAGTAAAATCATCACTTGCTATTTTCAAGATTTTTTTAAATTTTATTTTTGCAAATTATTAACTTCAAAGCTTAAAACTTAATTGGGCTTTAGTGGAACGCAGGTTCAAGTATGGGTGCAAACGAACCGAGTCAAGCTGAACTTTGGCCTAATCGAGACGAACCTTTAGTTAATTTTGTGAAACTCAAACTCGACCTCGAGTTCGACGAGCTCAAAATATCAAGCTCGAGCTCGAGCTCAATTCAAATTCGCGTCGAGTTCGAGCTCGAGCTTAAAAAATAAAATAAAATAATAATAAAATTTTTTTGAAAAATAAAAATATTTATATTATTTTTAAAAATAAATAAAATAATAATTTTTTAACAAATAATAAACTATTAGGGATATATGTGTAATTTTACTATTAAAATATAAAATAAAAATAAAAAAATATATAATTGAGCTCGCAAGCCAACGAGCTTAATATTTTTGAACTCGAGCTCGACTCGAACTCGTACTCGAGCCGCTCGTGATCGACTCGATTCGTGAACACCTCTAGGTTCGAGTTCCTCATCAGTAAAAGGGGAAGTACGGGTACCCAAAGCATTTTGGAAGAATGTAGCGACCTTAGTTAAAGGCCTAATTTCTAAACAGGGGTTTGACTCTTTGGAGGTGGATCGACTTTTAATGGGGCTCGGATTAATAACAACGTTTATCATTCGACAAGAAATAGTATACTAATCCACAAAATATATTCTTGGTTTTTTTTTTCAATCGTCATTTTATCTATATAATTCTATTCTATCATAATTTAAGGGGAAGCCCAGTTAAATTTACAGGAAGCCGATGGTGACTGAATTACTATCGCATCAAATGGGTGCACTACGCATCCATCTGAATTTGTCTAGAGAAGCCACATATTGTGGGAACTGGTAGGAGGTCAAGGGATCACCACCTCATCAAGCTTTAAGGATTTGACGGTGGACTTAAGGATTTGGTGGTGGCCTAGTTTAGTCTAGTGGTTATATATTCTTGGTGGCTGGTGGTTATATATTCTTGGTTAACTACCACCTTTAGTGTTTAACATTCAGGCAGGGTGATGAGTTTGGTATGCCAACATTCATCTTCTTGCTAGCATTTGACGACACATCTACACACTAATCCACACTCCACATAATATAGTTCTGGTTAAATACCAATTGTTTGTTTAGTGGTTGATATTCAGGGCGATGAATTTGGTGTCTTGATATTTTCCCAAAATGAGTTCAATTTCAGTTTCAGAAAAATTTTCAAGACAGCTAACAAAAAATCTAAGATGGAACACCTAGAATATTCTGGAGACTAAATAATTTAGCCCTCCAATATTGAAAACTTTGACATATCATGTCACCAAATGCTTCCCAGAAGTTAGGTGCCCGCGGGGTCTGAACGACTAGTAGCTATCACAACAAATAAACAATTGACGGCAGTTGACTAGCAGAATACCCAACCCAGCCCAATCCTACCAAATTGATTGCCCTTTAAAACCGGAGCTTAATGAAGAGGAACTCATGGCAATTTCTAACCATGGTTATAAACTACGACTATTTCTATCACTTGCGACTACGGGGCTGGTCTTAGGCTTAAAATTGAAGACACTCTAGTACAGTCTTTCTGTCATTCTGGTGTTATGCTAACAAAAACTCCGGCCATGTGCTCCAGCAAAGACTGGTGTTAGTCTTCCAAGCAGGAAACAATAATGGCTCCGTTTGGATAGGAAATTATTTAGAAAAAATATCTTAAATAATATCGTAGTATTTTTTTGATGTAATATATGTAAAATTTAAAAAAAAAAAGACTGAAAATTATGTTAATGATATAAGTAGAACAATTTTTTTTTTTTTTTTTTGCAATGGAAATTGGATTAGCCAGCTAATGGTTGCCATAAAAATCTATATCGTATAGTTTGAGTAAAAATATTAATGTAACTTGTATGGCCCTAATGAATAGACTCGAACAACCCCTCACAAAACAAAAATGACCGCCGATGAAGACACGAGAAAGCTAGTGCTGCTAATTTCCAGCTTGTGGAAGTTTCTAACTCCTTTCGTGGAATCATCATTAGGCCCCGTTTCGGATTTTAGTAAAAAAGTACTTTTAAGTGTTAAAAGTATTTTTAAAATGTTTACTGAAAATCATTTCATAAAATTAGGAATAGAACTTTTGGTGTTAAAAGTACTTTTAACAAACTCAAATTTTATGCTTTTTAGAGTAATTTTTATGATTTAAAAAATAAAATATCAAATTTAATCATCTCATCCTATATTATGAACCAAATATTGTGATATACGTTTTTAAAAATTTTAAAATTACACGTTATTAAATATAATAAGTACTTATTGAATTATATTTTTAAATAATATATTCAAAAGCATTTAAGCAGTTGATAACTATTTTTATTAAAAATTCTATTAGAAAGTGCTTTTTAATAAGTTATCGCAACCAAATGGCGCTTAATAGTACTAGGCATGCTGGACTGAGGCAGACCGGATGCGAGAAACACGCAGCAATGGGTTTGTATCCGTGACTGGTAGTACAAGGCTTTAGAAAGAAAGGCGGTACTTTTTTTTTTTTGCATTGAAACTTTAAAGTAACGTACGGACGACGGCAGGCAGCAAACTGAAAATCAAAACAGCATCATCGGGGCCTAATTTCCCAAGAATGAAACCAGGCGTTTCATCAAGATTCCAGCATTGTCGCCACTTGGATTCAGTATATGAAAAACATGGCCCTCCTTTTCAACATCCACAACCTCCAATTCACCCCTCCATCCGCTCTTCTTCAGCGCCTCACTGTAATGCAAACTCCGATCTCGAATGAAATCTGTCTCCGATGTACACAACAGAATCTTCTCGCACAAAAGGCCCGACAACAATCCAGAACTCGCCATGGGATTAAGCCTTGGATCATCCCACCCTTTGAAATCTGAAGTGATGTACTCCCATAATTCTTCACGCCCTCCCTTGCCAAAATATGGATGCGCTAAAATCAACCCCACAAGCTTCACACCATCCCCCAACCCTTCTCGGCTGGCTTTGACCGCCATGTAATGTGCAATATTGCCTCCGGCGCTGTCACCTGCCAAAAACACCCTTGAAAAGTCGGCGTGATTGTTGAACCAGGGTTCGGGGCCTTGTCTATTGGCATGGGAGGCGACCCATTTTGTTACTGCCCAGGAATCATCGAAGCATGCGGGGATAGGGTGCTCTGGAGCCAACCTGTACTCGATGGACACGGCGACGACGTTGGCCTCAGCTGCTACGGAGGTAAGATAGTTATGGTATACGACGCTGAAAGCTGATCCGATGACAAAGGCCCCCCCGTGGATGTAGATCAGGACAGGAAGTTTCTCGTCGGGTTTGACCGTGGCCGGAAGATACAAGCGTGCACCTACTTGGGTTTCCGGTGAAATGATGACGTCTTTTGATCGGACACCACCAGTGCTCTGGGGATCGTCCGAGTCTGATGGAGGGACGAAGGGAGCTTGGAGGAATTTTTCGACGCGGCCATCCTTGTAAACTCGAAAGAACGGAACGAAATCCTGAGCTATTAGCGCAGGATCTGCATGTGGAATTGGGGGGAGCGAGTCCATGAATGATATGGTTTGATGTAATCCCAAGGAGGTTATTAAGGATTTTTGTGTCAAAAGTACTCAAACGAAGTGAAGAATGCTAAAGCAGAGGACTCCAGTGTGGGAAGTGGGAACTTAAGAAGGAATTTGATCACGGCGAGACAATTGTACTTGAAGTCGTTGAAATAGGTCAATGTATAGGTGAGAGTGGCCGGCAGACTTCTTTTGGTCTATTTGCCGGTCTCGTTGCGGCTTTCAAAGTCTTTAACTATATAGACTAAGGGCGGAAGCCTGGTGTACACGTGGACGTGGTCGTCCTCCGCGTGGCGACTGGGGATTCGTTTGTTTGATGCTGGCGTGGAGCGGCTGCGTTGTTTATTTCCCTCCCCCCGCTGTTTTCTTCTTTTCTTTTTTTCTTCTTGCTCGGTGGGAGGCTGGCTGAGGTCGTGGGTCACTTCTCTGTCACTTGCTCAGTCTCCTGTGTACCAACTCCACCAAGCTGAAGCTTTTCTTCCTTGTGCGGTCTTCTTTGCAGCTCAAGTTTTACCCTCAAGTTTTACCCTCAACTCAAGTTTCACCTTGTACGACCCGTCTTTCGTTGGCCCTATTTGCCTGCATCCGTTAGGTTGGCTCCGTCAGGTGGTCGTTGCATCTCTCTTCTTCCTTTTTCGTTGCCACTGTTTAGCTCTGTTGTGGCCTTCTGGAGTTGCTGTCTTGAGCTTGCCACGTGCTCCAGCTGCTCCCACTCCTAACTTGCTGTTTGTCTTCCACTCTTGTACGCCTTCCCGCTCCGCTGTCCCGTCTTTCATTTTGTACTGTTTTCCTGCTCCTCAGTCCTGTCTCCATCTACTCCATCCTGCCTCCATCCTGCATCCATCTTCCCCCACTTACTTTTTGTTGACCTTGGTCGATCAATCATTGGTTTTGATGATTAACAAACCAAAATGTAGATTTGGGCTAATGTTTTTATGTGAGTAATTTGTTAGAACAGATTCTTGTGGCATAAAAGCAGAAGCAAAAACAGGGCACTCATGTGGGACGTCCGAAAGGAAGCTATCGGACGTCCGAAAGGATGAAGAACATCAACGGACACACGCATCGGACGCACATCGATCGCATCGGACGTCCGAGAAATTTCGCAAAGATTTGATGACTCTCTGACGACGGTCGGACGCAGGGTTCGGACGTCCGACAGGTGGTTCGGACGTCCGACAGGCCAACGGCTAGTTTTGACAGCATTTAATATTTGACCGTTGGAGAGCCTTTTGGAGCCATTTCTCACCTTCTATAAAAACTCCAAAGCACAAGAAGACAAGGGACTTTTGCCAACACAAAATACAAGCTTACAAGTGAGATTTTTGAGTAGAAAGATTCTTTGTTGGTTGTATAAGGGGTTGGAAAAGTTGGGTTGTGAGATTGCTCAAGTGAAGGTTACTCTCTAGGAGGAGTAAAACCTTGGTGAAGGTGAACCTATCACTTGAAATGGTAAAACCTTGGTGAAGGTTGCCTCATTTGTATAAAATAGTTCTTAATTGGGTGAGTGATCTTTCAAGTGTAGGTTGTTGAGGGTTAACTAGAATAGTTGTAAAACTCCTTGGCTCAATCAAAGTGTGTTTGGGGTGAGGAAGGAGTGAGCCTTCACTTGTACATCTTGGTTAGCATCGCCATCTATTGAAGAGACTATTGGATTGATATTTGGTTTGCATTTCTTATCTTTTCTCTTTAATTAAATTTTCTTTATTGTGCTTAAATTTGATATATCTTTGTGCATCATTGTGATATTGTTTGTACTCATTGGGTTGCACCAGGCCTTACAATTCTTCACCCACTTCCTCTTTCCCCTCACACAAAACTGTTCCTTTAGCTATCTTGCACGCCTTCTCCCACCTGCTCTGACCTCTTCCAACCTGACCTATTAGTTGACTGCCATCATGAACCATGGTGCTTCTCCTCTTGACTGCTCGTCGAAGGCCGCTATTTGCCCTTTTGTTCCTGTTTTGGTGTTGTTGCTGCTCCTTGCCATTGCCCTCTTTGCTGCACCAGGTTATCTCCGCTGCTCTTTCGTTGCTCAGCTTGCACTCCCCCCCACCCCCGCCCCGCCGCCCTCCCCCTCCCTCTCCCTCTCCCTCTGTCTCCCCGTGTTGTCCATTATAATTCCGGGCTGCCTCTGCTGCTTACACCCCTTTGCTTGCCAATATTTGGGCTCGGTCTTTCCCCCTACCGTTAATACCCCCTCCCAGGCCTACGATTGTCCTCGGATTGCCGCTGAACAAAACCCCCGTCTTGCCTAGCATTTTGTTGCCGGCACTGTGTTGTTCCCAGCTTTTGTTCTCTTTTCTCCCTGGACTGCGTTTAGTGCGCTGCTCGTGTGTTCCTTTTTGGTCCCTTTCCTTTCAGTTTATTCGCAGCTCTTTGTGCTTCTTATAATTGCTTCCCTTTTGTTATGTTCCCTGCTTTCCGCTATTTTCTTAACCTTTATGTCGCTTTTGCTTATGCAGGCCAACTTCGGCTCGCTCCTCTACCGTGTCCTCTCTTAGCCTCCGTTTACTGCTTAAGGTATTTTGTCTTCTGCTTGCTTTCATATCATGCTGGTGTGCTTTCATATTTACTCTTTCAGTTGCCTCGCTCGATTACATGCTCTGCTTGTTAACATATATAGTCTATGTGCGAATGCCAGGGTTCTCAATTGAGTTTTAATTGCTGACTTGGCATCTCCTTATTGGTGAATTGATGGTAGTTCACCCGATCAATTGAGATGATGGATTCAATTGAGGACAAAATTGAGATTTCGCCTCCTTATTGGATGGACAGAGTTGCTGAGAATTCATTTACGCCGCTCACCGTGTCTCTTCTTCTTCGAAGCTATTTTCTCTCTTTCTTCTCTGGTTCCTTCTCCCTTGCTCCTCCTTTAATTAAACATTAAACAACAGTGCAAGACAAATCAGAGGTCATACATTGGTCTTCTTCTTGCAGGTTAAAGGGTATTTTCCTTTCTCTTTCTCTCTTAATTAGCCTAATTTTCATTTTTAATTTTTTTACAACCTTTCTCTATACAGCCTTTATTTTTTCCTTTTATTAAAGTAGTTATTTACGATCTATTTTGTTGCTATCGTTTTCTTTTCTATTGTTTGGATCTGTAGGTTTCCATGGTACTGGTTTCATTTTCTTGCTGAAGTATTTCTATCTATTTTATGCCTAATTTCTTCTTTCTTTTTTGCCATAATTATTTTGTTATTTTGCAGGTTTTTGTCGAAATTTTCTTTGACTGCTCACTTTTCATGACTGGTTGCAACCATTATCGGTATCACAAGTTTTATTTTCGGACCTTTATTTTCTCTTTTATTTTTTCTCTGAGATACGTTACAAATGGCTTGTAGATCTACTGGATTTTATTCTGTTCTCCGGAGGTGTCGTCTGCTCTTTTATTTTCTTAAATTTTTTTAGAACTTTAAAAAAAACTCAGTCTCTACGCATTTGGACCCATTTGGAATATTTCATTTTTCTTTCTTATTCTTGAGCATCTGCTGAGTTGTTACGAGAGAATAGATGTTGAAAAAATTAGTTGAGCCGTAGTGTTTTTGCGCTATAAACATTCTTTGATCTAATTTAATCAATTTTGCTTAAGTTTTTGTCGGTGAATTAATCCGGAGAAAGGAATGAGTAGGAACCTTTTTTTTAACCCCTGGAGTAAGGTAAATTACTCCAAATTTAGTGCATAGTGTCTGGTTATTTCTTGTTTTGAGTCTTTTCCTGCCATTGTTGGGATTTTTTTGGTCTCTTGTTTTTGTATCCATGATGTCTTTATGTTCAATTTTGCTTAATTAGACTGAAACTGCTGTAATGGCTGGACTAATTTTATCAGCGTTGACTTGAAAAAGTTTCTTTTTCAAACTTGGCTGGTTTGGCTACTGAATTTGTATTGGAGCTAGACATATATTTCAAAATTAAGGCTTCAATGTTGTGCTTAGGTAGGTAATCATGCAGGGAAATTTGTAATACGTCGACCACAGTAGTTTTAGGATTCTTAGGCTGAACAATTTTTAGACAGTCAACCCTAAAGTAATTTGAATTCTATCTTTCAACTTGAAAAATTGTTCTCCACAGTTTGTGTTGTTGTAGGCCTAAATACCAATTTATGGATTTCACTATTTACATCTTGGATCTTTAGGGCAGTTATGTATGAGAAGGTTTGTTCTCTGTTTATTTTGTATCTTTATTACATCATGAAGTGGTGGATCTGTTTTGGTGGTTTTATGTCTACTTAATTGCCAGGTTTCTCGCAGCAACGGCCAACAGAAAATAGTACTTTTCTTGATAGGACTTATCAATATCTATCTTATGAATCTAAGTTGTACAAACTAACCAATTGCTTTTTACCTAGGGGCAGTTTTTGCTTAATACGACTAATATAAATGGTTTTGATGCTTGTAGGTAGTAAAACATTTGCCAAAGAAGAAGTCCCAAATATTAGATTTTTTGTACAGGCTAGAAGCGGTAAGTAAATTGCCATTTTTCTTAGAAATACTAAATTATGCATTTATTCTTGGCTACTTGTTCGTCTTTATGAAATCATTCAACTTTTTGAAATCAATTGAAGGAATAACTGGAAGATGCTATTGATGCTTAGCGTATGTGTTTTGGTGTTTGTGTGTGTGTGTGTGTGTATTTGAAATTTCTTTGACTTTGTATACCATAAATTTGGTTTTCCATCAGATAACATGTTCTCTAAGATTGCATATTTAACCAATCTAATCATTTCAAGCCAAATGACCAATTTTCTTGTTATGGGGAGTGTATTATATAATTTAGAGATGATATGCAGGCACAAAAGTTATTTGGCAGCAGATGGACTAAAATTGCAAGAGTTTAGGCAGTTAAAAATAGTTGTTAAACACAGAAAATGATCTGTTAATATTTTTCTTACATATTGCAAGAGTAGTCATATTTTGTACTTTGTCCTTTATTATTAGTTTCATCGTTGTATTATTTTTTAAAATTATTTATATATCATTCCAATTTTTTTTAAAATCAGTAGAATTCTAGAATCATTGGAACTTGGTTGAGGTCAAAAAGGAGTTGAGTGGTCATCAATGTATCAAAATTCTCATGTTTTTGGTGTTTTTGCTTCTTATTCTCAAATTCAGTGGTGACATTGGCTTTAAAAATTTACATCTCTTTCTTCTTCTTGAATAATGTATTAAATTATGTGAATAATGTATTTTCTGGTTTGACAAGTGCAAATATAGAAGATCATTTGTTCTCTCTTTTTGAGAACCATTGACCATTTTCCAAAATGGTAACTCTATATAATTGGAAAATATTATTGTTTATAATTTTGTTGGTATGGTCATTAAGAAACAAACAGTAAATTAAGGTTTTTATGCCGACGCTCTTATATCTTTTAACATTCTGTTCCCAGGTAAAACCATTTTATGGTTTGCATTGTATTGACATAAAGGGGTATTGAAGACTGCTACTTTTGCTTAATGTTGAATTTTGCATACAAGTTCCGCGAAGGTAAGATGCTCTATCAACTCACTGTGAAGTCTTGCCGCAAAAGAAATTTTTTTTTATTTTGTATCTGGGTTGGTTTCCCCATATAGAGAGGTTGATAGAACTTTCAAAATTGAATTTGAGGTGAGAAATGGGGTTGACAATAGTTGGAATTTGACAAACTATTGTTCAGTATAGCATTGATTAGGACCTAGCATTTTGTTCGAATATTATGGATTGGGCTGAAATTTGACTATAGTTTCACTATAGCATTTATTAGGACCTAGCATTTTATTCGAATATTAGCAACCAAAAGAAAATTTTCTTAAAAATGGTTCATTTTGGTATGCATTCCAGATTACATCAGCTCCTTTCTTAAAGTTTGCGTTTCAGATTACATCAGCTTGAAATGTTTAGAGTCGATTCATTGTAAGTTGACAACATAAAATGGTTCACCTCATAAGGCCTTCAATATTAAATCTGCAACATTATACTCTTAAGTGGTATACCCTCATATAATCCACGGGAGTTTCAACTTTCTATTTGACTGGTTGTTTAAACAGTTAACGTCAACTTTGTTAGGGGATTACATTTTTATCTTTTATTAGAAATATGTTTTAATTTGAGTTTTTGAATTTCAAGTCATCACATACCCTTGTTCTTTCTTATAAAATGATGAAAACCAGTTAGATGACTCCAGTGTACTTGTTTTACAATATTGTCACATTTTTCAAATTTTCAAATCGCTCCTAAGATTCTTTTCATTGATCTTGTTTTAAATAATCACTTGTGATATGGTACTTCTGACAGAATTACGGGTTGAATTTCTAGGATGAAGAGTGCGAAAGTTGATTAACTACTTGAGATGACTGCTTTTTCACTTTTCTCCTATACTGTCATGATCAAGACGCAAGATAATATCTTTCCAACCACGATCAGTGTGCATTTGACAGTTTGAATTTCTTTTTTTTCTTAATTCTTGCCCCGGTGAAGATTAGTAATCATCCAAAATTATTTATGTATAAATATATTTATGGGAACATCAACGATTGTCTAGGGATCAACTGGCCTCTTTACTTATTCGATAATTCCTTTCTCATATTTTTTTTTCTATGATAGCGTTATTGCGTTCAACTGAATTGTGTTTTTCTTCAATTAGGAAGTGTTTGGCTTCAACAATTTATCACAGTATTAGATGACAGCATCCTTAATTTTGTACAATGCAAAGCTATGGTTCCAACCTACCATAGCTGAATTTATGGTTGATTTTGATGCACATACAAAGCTGTGGCTATAAAGCACGTGCTCCGTCTCATACCATTGCATCTTCTCAAACAACTACAGGTCTCTCTAGACATCCACAAATCACACAATATTTTTATCTTTAAGAGTCATGGTCATATGAGTTCTATATCTCAAGATATAGCTATGTTATTGGGAGAGCTCCCGATATGAAGGATTCAACTTTATTGAACATATTACACTACTAATCATCACCACTTTCATGCCTACTAATCATCACTGCTTTTCCGTATTGCACTATTAAATACATTACATTACACATTTTCCAATCTTCTTATTACTTTTCCTCAAATTTTAATTACCAATATACTTATTCAAAACATAATCCTGAATTCATCTTTATTATTTTAATTCATCAGGATTACAATATTTCAAAAATATATCGGACATTAGTGGGCATAATTCCATTCATCCACCGCGCGATGCGCGGTGATCTCCTCCTAGTTATACACCTAATTCAATAGTCAGTGGTCACCATTTATTAGTTTTAGAATTTTGGTGGATTCCAATTCCATAATTCTATTACTACCCAGCCCTTTCAACGCGCGGAGTTGAACGAGAGCAGTGCTCTATTCGAGCTCGAACTCATGCAAATTATTTGAAGTCGAGCTCTACTACATCAAATTTTGTTGCTTTGATTGATTTGAGAAAAATGTGAGTAACTCAAGCTTACTTTAGAAATCAACTCAAGTTATTTTTTCTCTTACCAATTTTTGATTGGCTTTTTTAAAATTTCTGCTTATTTTATTTGAGTTTAACGTAATTAGACAAACATACTCACCTAGTAAAACATGCAACTGTCCATACTGAAATTGTATATATATTTTAGTAATCTTAGATAAAATATATAAAATTAGTACACACTCAACTGACTCAAGCATACTCGCATTGAGCATAATACTCGAATTTGAACTACATATAATGACACATTGATGGAATTTGAATACCTGGCCTCCCATCCTATCGAAATTTAAAAGTTTTTGATAGTGATCTAAAGAGACGAAAGTCCTTAATACCAAGTACCAACTAAACTTCAAACCATTGGCCATTTGGTCCAGTGGTCATCACCTTCTTTGGTGATGCTGGAGGTCAGGGGTTCAACTCTTGCCTCCCTCAAAATTTGCCACAATATGTGGCTGGTCTTAGTTGACCATCTCCCCTTAACTCTTCCCCCTAGATTAGGCTAGATTAGGTTATAGGACATCTACTTGCTGAAAAAAAAAAGTACCAACTAAACACTTCAAGCCTTCTTTTTGTCCCCCCCTTTTTGGTTTTGGTTGGCGGGAAAGAGGATAAGCTGCATTTACTTCTGAGACGTGCGTAATAAATTTGCCCCATATCAGCCTCTTAAAGAGTGAGCCTCGGCAGTTGTTGCAGCAAAGCCAGCGTGCCCTAAGTTAAGAGCAGCTTCTTTTGCTATCATCTGAACGCTGAATGGCAAGACGAATGGGCAAAAATAAAAGGATAATGACAATAACAATCGGTGTGTTGCTTGTGCTTGCTACCAATCTAGTTCAACAATTCCACAACCCATTCCATCCGGTCATCTAAATTTAATCAAAGTCACTAAAGAATAAAAATAGTCTTCTAGATGCAACATTATTATTATTACATGCTACCAACAGGACGTACAAGTGATCGATTATTATACTTAGTCAAACGATTTCGGTTGAAACTATATACGTTTGTCCAGTTGTATGATGTCATTTTAGCATCGCTGCTTACAACAACTCCAAATTGCACGTACATGAATTACAACCTGAACTCATTCACTGTGTCAGATTATATATTTTCTACTAATTTTACAACAACAGTTTTTCCTTTTTCTTTTTGGGGATTCTGATGAAACAAATCCTGTCTTTTTTGTACTCCGAAGGAAAATTTAATCAAAGAATCATTATCAGGTCAGCAACAAATAGAGGTGGCCCAAACTTTCAGTGAGTTACTTTTGGGTTGGGTAGATTTCGGTTCACTCAATCGCACAAACCCAAAATAACCCAAGTCATTTTTTTATTTCAATTTTAGATAAATCACATTTTAGTTCCTCATCATACCTGATCTGTTTGTTAAATTCAACTGCAAAAACATTTATTGTTAGTTGTTTTTTTCCCTTTCCATCTATTTTCTCCGGCCTACTGTAATTTTGCAAAAATTTAAAGGGTCAAAGTGCAATTTAAAAAATTAATGTTGACCTGCTTCTTCTTCACCTCTTCACCGTCGACTCCTCCCTAAACCACCTCACCCATCGTCGCTCAATCCATTCCTTCTCCTCTCTCGTCACCAACTCAAGCCACATCTCTCCTCTCCCTTCAGCTTTATATTATAACAAAAGAAGAAGCAGTAACTTAACAACTCTAAAGCTCGATGGTTGCTAGGGCATCCAAAATAATTTCTCGTCCGCCGCTGTCATTCGCCACCACTGCCGGAATCTGTGTCGTAAATCTCTGGATAGATGCGTACTTTTTTACTTCAGTACTACCATGAATAAGCGTGGCTCCACTAGCTAACGTAAAATATCGACAATTTTGGTCAAAGAATTTGTCTTTACTCAAAAGTAATTTGTAAATGCGATCCTGAAAACCAACTAATAATGCTTATTTTGGAAGTTGGATTTAGAAATAACAAACAGTTTCATTGAGATGCGCCTTTAAACAACATGATAACGGTTATTAATACAAGATACAAAATACATACATAAGTAAATCATCACTTTAATATCAACTACGATTACGAACTCAATACCATCTATCACGGAGTTTAATCCGCTGATGGATTATCCACTCAAGTTTAGCTCCCTGCAATCTCTTCTATTGCTACTATTGGTGTCTGAAATCTGAATGTCGATGCATTAGATTCCAACATTCCATCACTGCAAAAGTTCATTATTCTCGAAAATCCCTCTTATTCAACAAATTACCAGTACTAGAAAGAGAGAGAGAGAGAGCTTAGGCTTACCCGCTGCCTATCCTCTTAGAAATGAAACCACCCGTCTCATCAAGACTCCGGCGCGGTGACAATCTGGGTTCAAGAGGTGGAAAACATGACCCTCCTCTTCAATGTCCACCAAATCCAACTCACCTTTCCATCCGTTTTTCTTCAAGGCCTCATAGTAAAGCTGACCACTCTCCCTGATGATATCTTTCTCGGATATGCAAATCAGAATCTTGCCACAAACGAGGCTCGATAACGAACCCGGATGAGCCATCGGATTCAGCCTTGGATCCTCCCATCCCTTAAAGTCTGAACAGATAAGCTCCCAAAGTTTATTAGGCTTCCCATCACCGAAAAAGGGATGCATCAAAATCACTCCCTCGAGCTTTACGCCGTCGCCCAGCCCATCTTGGCCTGCTCTCACTGCCATGTTATGGGCAATGTTACCTCCAGCGCTGTCGCCGGAGAAGAAGACTTTGGTGAAGTCGGCGTGATTATTAATCCATAAATCGGGGCCTTGTCTATCTTTGGCATGAGCTGTGACCCAATTAATCACTGCCCAGGAATCGTCGTAGCACGCGGGCACGGGGTGCTCCGGAGCCAACCTGTATTCGACGGACACGGCGATGATATTCGCCTCGGCTACGAGGGAGCTAACGTAGTTATGGTATTGAATGGAGAAGGCCGATTCGATGGCGAAGGCACCACCGTGGATGTAGATGAGGAGGGGACGTCTCTCATCGGGTTTGATTGTTTTGGGAAGGAATAGCCGTGCTCCTACCTTGTTTTCCGGTGAGATGACGATGTCTTTTGATCGGACACCGCCGGTGACGGCGTTCGGATCTTCCGAATCAGACGGAGGGGTGAAGGGAGTTTGACTGAACCTTTCGACACGGCCATCTTTGAATACGCGAAATAAAGGAAGGAAACTGTGAAGTACATCAGGAGCGTCAGGTATTTGGATTGAGAGATCCATCGATGCCAGGAACACAAGAAATTGCAATTAAACCGATTCAATTATGTCTTTGTATCCAACTGCAATTGATTTTTCTCAATCTTCAAGGAAAAAAATTCAAGATTCTAAAGCTCAAATAAAAGAACAGGCTTCAAAGTCTGCGTAATAAACCAACAATCAATCAGTACAAGACACTTGTTTACTGTTCTGGTAGATGCTATGAAGTGCAATACACGCTCGTTGTCCATACGGTTTAAGAATTAAGAGTGCCGTTGCACTTCTGCTGGTTTGTACTATGATCGCGACTTGGAAGTGTGGAAGCATGCTTCAATGGTTCTATAATTACTATTATTTTTTGAATTAATCTTTCCTACAGTTGTGATCGCATTAGATGAATCAAACACTGTATACAAATTTTACACATATATTATAAATCAAACAGTAATAATATATATATTATCAGTGTATTCTTATTTTTTCTGTTATAACAGGAGTATGTCAAAATTAAGAAAGTTAAGAGTCCCCGTTTGACAAAGAAATTTTTTAGAGGTTTGTCTAAAAATTTACTGTAACTTATTGTAGAAGTTGTAGAAAAAATTTTTAAAGTGTGTAAATTTCTGAATATTTTGAAGTATATAATTTAAAAATTTTGAAATTTTTTTGAAATTACGATGGTTAAAATTGTTAAAAAACTTGTAACAAATAAACTTGATCACAAAACTTGCCAAAAACAAGGCCCTAATTTTTACGTCCCAGGGGAACATCACGGGCTAAACAAACACCGCGCATGTCTCCTCAAAAGCACAAGCCAGTTGCATGCGGACAGGCGTCAAAAGATAACAAAAAAGTTTCTGTCCAGCTTGCATCCCGTCTTTGCTAACGTATCAACACATCTGTTGGCTTTGCAATAGAATTGGAGTTTGTACCATGGTGGCAGTCCCATCGAGCTATTTTTCTAATCATGCAACGCTTTCATTTGGGTGTTCAAAAAGATAAAAAAAAAAAAAAAAAAAGAGGTAGTCGAGAAAATTGAATTGATCTAAATAAAAAAATAGGGTAATCAATCCCTAATCTTTAACATGGTTAGGTTGTCTGAACCTATATGAAAAACTATGGTAAGATGTGATTTTCAATTTTTCAAAATTTGTGGTCACCTGAACCTATATGTGTACGTATATGTGTAAGATTGGTTAACATGACCAGTGTCCAAATGTAAACCATAATTATTTAATCATTATATATATATATATATATATTATTTTTCAAAACTTGTAATTTTGTATATTTAATCATATCTTCCACTTATTTTTTCGTTTCTTGCATTTGCTGCCACTAAGCCTTGTTTGGATTGCAGTTTTTCGTCCAAAATTACATTATATATTATTTTCCGTGATCACATTTTCCTATTAGCTTTTTTCCTCACATACATTAAATTACTATAGTAATTTTTTCATGAAAAATGCAATCCAAACACAACCTTCTTCAATTATTCTACAACTCTATCTTTTTCATCTTTCTTCAAAATTTCTTTTCTTTTCTCATAAATTCTATCCACTTCACGCTCTATCCATTTATTTTTAAATTTTTAGAGCTTAAATGTTTGGTTGTGAAGCAGTTCGTCATCCTTAATAGAAAATGAATTAATAGTTTTCGAGAAATAGAGAAAATTAAAACAAATGTTTGAATATTTTATGTTTTGATTATCGATTAATCTTTGTTTTCCTATTTTGTTGGTATTTTTTTTTGGAGTTTTAGGATTAAATACTCTTATTAATTTAGACAACTGTTGCATTGTTTTTTTTTTTTTTAATCTAATTTATTTTTCTTTTTCTTCTACAAGTGCAAGAGGGTTAGGTTATCCTGTGTGTGCCAATCGCATCTTATAGGTTAACAAGTCAGTGGTTAAATATAATAAGGGTATTGAATGCAATTTTGCTGAATTGCTACTTGCGGTAAGAGCCAATGAAATTGTAAATGAACTGATTGCGGATCCATGAACGTTAGCTTCCACCGCTCTACATAATTCACTTCTTCGTTTATTCCCTTCCAGCTAATTTTAGCCTTAAAATGAGCCCATCTCTGCTCATCTCTTCTTTTCTTTTGGGTTGGGGGGCTCTTGTCTCCCTTAAAGCCCAAAAGTATCGGACAGTAGTAAGGTTCCCTGGACCCATAATTTGCTCAGAGACCCAAGTTACACGATAATTAATATTAAGAGAGGCAAAAATAAAACGAGGCCGGCGAAATAGTAAAAAAATCTCGGAGAAGGTTTGTGAAATTATCCCTTTCTTTTAGCAGCTTATTTCCCTCTCGTTCGGTTTTTAGCAGCCTAGTTTTCAGAGAGAACGAGACCCGGTTTACCGTTAACGCGCCTCTTGTTGCCAGTTGAAATCTAAAGGTCGTAATTGGTTGGACGGTATTGATTTGTGAGTTCCACCTTAGATTGTACTTCGCACCAGGACTTCGATTATCTCTGAGTGTTAATCTAACTTTGTTGTTTCTTTTCAGTAATTTCGATTGTTGAAACAATGATCGGATCGTACATGGTTATAATAGTACTGACGTTTATATGAAGTATTCCATTTCTAAGGCATTTATAAACGACATTTTTCAGCCAATAATAGTACTATTAATTAAGACGCAAATCAAGCTGCTATTCTATAATAATAATATTATGTTCGCGGCTGCTTCTTCATCGATCCTTGATGAATGACTTTGGATTTTAATACTACTGCTAGCAGGCCAGCTGAGCCCATAATTAATAGGCATCCCATGATAATCGAGTGCTATATTGGTCCTGAGTCGCAAATGGGAGACGGTTGGTTATTTTGTCGAGAACCCGAGAGAGTGAAATCATTACATTACGACAACAAAGTAAAAGACCACGTGGAATTATTTATGCTTCAAATTTACTCCTTTGTTTATTCCAATCCTGCCGCTTTAAGCAACCCAGTGCTCCTTGAGCTCAATGATCGATAATGATTACTGCTCCTCCTACTTTATGCCCGCTTTTTTCAATTCAACGCCTTTTTAGCTAACCAAATCAACCGCACCACTCTACTACCTGTCTCCTCCACTTTCGTCCCACTCGTCCTCTACGCCGAAACATCAAAGAAATTTCTTCCACTTTCAGCTTCATTTTCATTACTTTTTTATGACGCTCGCAATTCTCAGTCCCGCTTGGATTATGGCTATTTTTAGGATTTTTTTTTTCGTAAAAAAAAAGTATTATAACATTTAATGTATATAAGATAAAAATATATATTCCCGAAAAACAAATTTTTTTTTCTTTTTATAGAAAACTACGATACAAACAAAGTCTGAATCAGAAGTCAGCTCAATTTTTTTATTTGTAATCTTTTTCTACCTATGTCCCCGCGCACTAGGACCAGTTAACAAATGATGAATTCCACAAAAGGTTGAGTTGGATTGAATTGAATGTTGAAAGTGATTGTAATTAGAACGTCTCCTATCGATTAAAAAAAAAGAAAAAAAAATGCATAAGTAAAACACGGTACTCAAAAGATTCCATATGAATAAAACATTACTCCTAATAAAATATGTGACTACTTTTTTAATCTTGGCAATTAATGTGCCCTTAGCTAATACTAGTAAATCTCTAAAACATAGGCGAAAAGTAATGAATGAAGCACGGGTCAAGCGGGCAGGTGGTGAGCGGTACGTGAGACCCCGTAACACCAGCTGGTATCCATTGCCGTTCTTATCTGATTTTTTTTTTTCTCCCTTTTGAAATGCTACTACTAATAAAGGAATCCAGCATCCAGGTGATAAGGTGAATGGATTAACAGCGTTCCACATTTTGACAAAATCAAAGCTCGTAGGAAACGCTGTCGTCTTTGTCCCTTCCGGTTTCTTAACTCAAGTAGTACTACCATAGTTGGATTGAATTCCAACAAGTTCTTGTTTGTGATTTGGATACGGATCAGTGATCATAATATTCTTCCAGTGATAGCGTTTCACTGTTCGTTTTTGCGAGGGAAACAACAGAGACAGCGAGAGAAATCAGAAATATGTAGCGGGAGTTGTAAATCTGTTCTGAGGGCATATCTTTGGAAAAAAAAAAAACAACAACGAATGGAACAGTAAAAGAAAAAGAAAAAAGGGGGAGCGTGAACAACGGTCGAAGCGGGGCATCTTTTCCCCCCGATCATCAATTTGTTCTTCACGAGAAAAAGCAAAAGCTCAAAACTAACTTTTGCTTCCAAATACTACTGATTAATAATCTCTTTATATTTACCACTAGTATTATTTTGGGCTGATGCATTGCATGGGCACGCGGGGAAGAGAAGATATACTGGTCATAGGAGAATGAACAAAGCTAGAAAGAAAAGGGTAAAGATGTCTTGTTGAATCTCTGCACCTCTACACCAAAAATCCCTTTACTTTTTTCTTCCTTTTACCAGCAGCCTAACGCCGGCCCTTCCCCCCCAAACATGGCGGACGATCTCTGTTTCTTCAACAAGGTGCGTTCTTTTCTGGGTCTCGTGTATCTTTGTCGACAAATTTTGTTCTGGGCTATTTTGGCAGAAATTGGCGCTTTTCCCCCCGTTTCGTTGAGGTTTCTTGAATATATTGTTTGTCCTTCATCTGGGTTATGGAATGCTTGGGATATTTGGATACGTGTTGTTGCCTCCATCCATCTCAGGCTTTGAGCTTTCTGCTCCAAGCATTCTACAGGAGCAAACCCTCACCCTAGTTTGAATATTTCTTTTCAATTTTGTTTAATTTGTGTTGGAATAATCATTTAAACGTGCATTAAGAAGTTCATGGGAAATAAAGATACTGTTGCCTACTTCACTGAAATTCCAACGATCAATTTATTTCTGTTCTTGTAGCTCATTTTTTTGTGAAAAATCAGGCCATCCTTGGAATTTTCCTTTTCTTTTGCTTAATTATGTATATTACGGATTATATTGGTGGGAGGGGCTGGGGAGGATGAAAATCTGGAGCTTCGGAGCTTGGATTGTGCTCCTTCATCAGCCATTCGGGCCAGAAGATGACATTTCGATTGACATTTAGTTTATCCGTCGTTTCAGGATAGCTTGATCCTTAAGCCTCCGAAGAAGTCTACATTGTTGTTGAGAATGGTGGTCTTGATATTTTCAATGGTTTGCGGAGTATATATATGTTCCATATGTCTTAGGCAAATTAGTTCCCGGTCCACTGTGCGGTTGTTAAGTGTGGAAGTGGTGAGGCCCTGCGAGCCACCTGACGTCGAGCCTTCAGAAAAACCTTTTGTGCACTTCCCCAATCCTAAAACTTTTCGCAGGTGAGACATTGACTTGCACATTTCTGCTAGGGTCTTTTAATTGCTGATGAACTAAAATGCCTTGTTTTGGATAATTAGGGCCGAATGTGCATGCCATCCTGTTCGAAATTTTGCAATTTTGTCCACACAAAGATCAGGAAGTGGATGGTTTGAGACATTATTAAACAGTCATATCAACATAAGTTCGAATGGGGAGATTTTTTCTGTTAAACCCCGGAGGGCTAATGTTTCAACAATAGTTGAAACTTTAGATAAACTCTACAATCTAGAATTTTTCACTAGTGCTTCCAAGAATGAGTGCACTGCAGCTGTTGGATTGAAGTGGATGCTTAATCAGGTGAGTTCCTGGAACATTTCAAGTTCTCTCTGTTGCTTGTGTTGTCTAAAATTTCTTTTTGATACGAGAACACTATTTTGATTGTGTTGGAGTTCCTCTGGTCTTTTAATTTTTTGTTGCTATAGGGTAGTGAAATCTTAATTACCAGTACCGCATTAGACAGAAACTGTCCCCCTCCCCCATCCCCACCCCCCCCTCCCACCCACCAAAAACAAAAGGTTATTCAGAAGTTAACTTTAAACCATTCGTGTGACAAGCGAACCACTCTTGTCAAAGGATCACCAAACTTTAACCCTTGCAGCGGGGTTAAGCAAGAGCTGCCAGTTCTCTTTCTATCTCCATTAGTAATAGATTTAACTGGTCCACACATGATTTGAAACTGCATGTATTGTATTGGGGCTATGGACATGCCAAGGTGTAAACATCTTGAGTTGTAGATGGGTGGGATCAACTTACAGCGTGTCAGATGTTTTGTGTGTTGGAGTACTTTTCTTCTGACTTTACTTTTGACTCTTTAACTTCATATATGATGTGCATCTCATTTGTGGAATTTATTACTGCTTCAAAACCTCAAGTTAATCAGGCTGTAAAATGTACTTAATTAAGCTAGTGTCTAATGGTTAGATCATAAGATATCCCATGACTAGATTCTCAAATAGGCAGCATCTGTGGCAACTGGTTGTGAAAGGAACTGACAATTTGGTTTGTAGGCTTTATTCAAACATCTCCTGGAATCCAAAAGCCAAAGAGTGGTTGGGGGGGGGGGGGGAATGAGCATAACAATACTAGGTTATGCATACAATTTGCTCCTCCTACTGGTGTGTGTGAAGTTATTATGTGTTGCCAAGAGTTAACAGCTGCGTAAATACTTGCTTTCTCTGCCATGTGTTTGCTAAAGAACATCAAATGTGGCTTCTGAAATTTATTGTTCAAAACTGCATGCCTTAGTTTTTGCATACTTCAGCGAATTCAGGCAGTCATATATTAAGTTATGATTCTAAATGCAACATAGCTTTGGCTACCAAAATATCCACCTGACGAAAGGAAGTAAACTCTGATGAAAAGGAAATATCAGTACATCGTATGTCTGCTTATAAATAATGCTGTGACTTTACACCTAAAGAAAGGCAAGTAGAGGAATTGACTTTCTTTAGGTTAAGAAAAATGAGAAATTCACTTTTCATTCATAATAGGTGGGAAGTGCACTGATCTTTGTTGGGTTTATTGCAGGGTCTAATGCAGAATCATGAAGAAATAAGACAATACTTCAACGATAAAGGAGTTTCCATAATTTTTCTCTTTAGAAGAAATCTTTTGCGCAGGATGATCTCTATACTTGCAAATTCTTATGATCAAAATGCCAAGCTACTGAATGGAACACACAAATCGCATGTGCATTCTCACCAGGAGGTCTCTCTCTCTCTCTCTCTCTCTCTGTGAGACAATGAAACAAACATAGAGAGACATGCAAATGAACATAAAATGTTATTGACCAATAATAGTTGTTCCTGAAACCTGAACAACTGTTGCAGGCTGAGATACTTGCAAGATACAAGCCCACAATCAATGCAACATTGCTGATACTGAACCTGAGGCAAGTAGAAGAGATGGTTACTAAAGCTTTAGAATACTTCAAGAGCACTAGACATATCGTCCTCTATTATGAGGACATAATCAAAAACCGAACTGTAAGACATCATCCCATGTATCACTTTCTTTTCATTCACTTTCACTGAGAATACAAAAAACTTTGGCGTTTCATTTTGTTCTCTTGTAAACTGAAGCTACTTCTTGTACTTCTTTTCCAGAAACTGATGGACGTTCAAGACTTTCTGAGGGTTCCAAAAATGGAGCTCAACAGTCGTCAGATAAAAATACACAGAGGATCCTTGTCTTCCCAGGTTGAGAATTGGGTAGACGTTGAAAAGGCACTGAAGGGAACTCCGTACGAGAGCTTCCTACAAGCTGATTATAGGATGTAGATTATTTTCATGCTCTGCGTAAATATAGCCCGGCCCTTATTTTTTCTTTTTTACCTTTAATCATTTCATTCATTATTTTTGGTTAGCAGAAGCTAACAGGGCAGCACCCTGTTAAAATTTTGGCCACAGCACCTAGCTTCCCCTTCCGCCAAAACCAAAGGACAGAAATGCATAATAGTAGTGAATGTAGTTCAATTTTTATATTTGTCAGTTCTCCTGGCAACGTGTATTCGTGGATCCATACATGTCAAAGAGTGCTAATGCATATCGAACAGTCTGCAGTTATACAACAGTGGAGCTGATCAGGATGTAACCTTCATCTAATTGCTGCATAGTAGATTGAATTTCCATAGTTAGCAGCGTAGCAAAATTTATGTTGTTGCTCAGAAGAATGAGGTTCAGAAGAGTCTTGAATTTGGTGCGGTAGCTTCAGGCAAGTGTTATGTTTGCGAGCACATGGGTTATACCTTGAAGCATTATCAATTTGTACGAAATGCCTGAATTTTTCATGTTTTATTTCTCTTTTACTGTATTTATTTATTTATTTTTTTGGTGGCATCTTGAAATCTAGTTTAGTCGTTAATTACGTTTTGAAAGCATTGCTTCGAAGAAGAGACACCTGTGCTGTAGCGTTTCATCAATCGGATTTTGTCAATTGTACATAACCCATTTCAGATACATCAATGCTACTTTCGAGTATGTTACTGCTACGACTGGGAATTTGTCAATTGTATATTACAGAATCCAGATACAGTAATAAATACCCAAATGCTTTGCTACCCAATTGTTAGTGACTGGGCTTCTAACCGCAAAATACGAGGAACTTTTGGTGGTCCTGAGTTCTTTTTAATGCGCGATGGCAGCTGTGAAGATCAGACCCAACTCAAATAAGGGTCAGGGTCCCTCTTTATAGACTATAGGTTAGGGGTTTGAACCCTTTTTTGCGGTGAAAAAAAATTTAAAAGAATTGTTAGAACACCATTTTGATTTAGGTACCGCTTCCTTTTTAAATTAAAATATATTAGGTTATAAAAATGTTATCGTTAAAAAATGATTCGTTCCTCCACTGTTGTCTTTTCGAGCGAACCTAAATCTCAATACCTGATTTTGTAGAACACATTTTAAGTAGAGATCAAATATTTTGAGTATATCTTTTTAATACCAAGCCGTTCATGCTGCATTATGATGATACTCATATCTCAATGGAAACAACATATACTAGTAATAATTAGCCGAAGTAGATATGTTCCTAAAATCTTCAAGTTATAGAATAATCAGTTGATATTTCCGTCATACTATACCAGCATATCTTACGGACCAGCAATTTGTGACACCAGTTCTCTTTCTCAATTTGTGGCTTGTGGTTGGAGAAAATTACAAAATAGCACCATCCACCTAAACATGTACTGTAAAAGAATATCATAAGACGAGTTGAAAACTACCGGGCAATTGGAACCTTTATGACTGGTACCAGCACCAAGAATAATGCCAGACATATAAGTTAACAAGAATTCTCAAAAAAAAAAAAAAAAAAATTTAAGAAGAATTCTCAATTAACGTGGTAGAAGTCGGGATTGCTCTGCACGCAGGCGGAATTGACGTAAGCCAAAAAGGGAGAAAAAAGGGCGGGGGGGGATGTAGTCAAATAAAAAGAACGAATGATTTGAATCAGACAATGACGCTGATGCACCAACTACCCATCATTAGCCACGTGGCGTTCACACGGAATCCCGCTGTAAACATTTGACCAGTAAGGAAGCCACGAGGAGAACTTATTGATGAGTCTTTTTTTTTTTTGAAGCACTTATTGATGAGTCTCTGAACTCTGTCAAAGTCATCTTTGCCCAAGGAGCGGCAGCAGCGGGAGGCGTCTCCCCTTGCCCTAGAGTCGGATTTTTAGTCACGAGCTGAGATTAACCTTTCTACATCTGATAAAAAGGTGGATTAATAATATGTTTTCTAACACTTGTTTGCGTTGCCATTTTTTTTTATTTTTCATAAATTTATTTTTAAATTATTTTTTGTTTCACATGCGTTAAATCATTGCAATATATTTTTCTATAAAAAATCTAAAAAGTCACCATTCAAATGGCTTTCGCTTGCATATACATACAGGCATCTAGAATTATTGAAGGTGTCATCATTAATTTTTTTTCCCGAGCCTTAAATGGTTTTGGCTCCTGAAAACCTTGACCCAAGAATACGAAAAGGAAAAAGAATGTACGATGCATATGACTATGGCCCCATTTAACAGGTGAATTTTTTGAGTATTTGTCTAAAATTTTACTGTGTAGAAGTTTTTTAATAAATTTTTGAAGTGTGTAAATATTTGAATATTTTGAAGTGTATAGTTTGAAAATTTTGAGAAATTTTTTGAGATTACTGTAACTAAAGTTTTTTTAAAAACTTGTAACAGACAAATTTGGCAAAAAACTTATGTGCCAAACAGGGCCTATGTAAGGAATGTAAGCAGTGAAGGGTATAAATTCGTACATTTATCCCTTGAGCAAGGATACAAAATATAACCGTTGTTTGAATCATGTATATTTGGTCCTCAAGGTTGATGTGTGTTTTTCAAGTGTGTGCCTAAAATTTTACTTTAATTTACTGTAGTTGTTTGAAAAAAAAAGTTAGCATTTTAAAATTCCTCTGTTTTTTTTTCAAAACGCCCATTCTTCCAAACTTTTTAATTTTTTTAATCTATGTTCACCTCTATCAACAACCATCCTTACCCATCTCTAGCATTGATACCTTATTTAATTTTTTTAGCAATATTTTATTCTAAAACTTAAAGGTGTTTTAGAGTATTATTATAAATATGATTTTAATCAAACTTTATTTTTCTAAAAGAAGCCAGTAATAAGGCCGTTTGATGGACCGTGATAATCAATCAAATAAAAGTTATATGAACAATAAAAGCAAAATACATGAGTATGCACATAGTGGGTAGAGAATTTCAAGTTCAAGCCTTATGGATGGAAAAAAAAAAAAACAATTTTGAGAGAGCTACTACTGAGAGGATTAGTCGAGTTCAATGTCACTAGACTCTATAGTTTTTTTTAAAGAGTATAGAATTTGACATCTGATCCAAACAACTTTCATCTTATAACACTGGAAAACAATATACCTTTTTTTCATACTTCTTTAATAGGTTTTTTTAATTTGCGCTTGGATTGATTGATAAGCGGCGGAAACGGTTCAGCATGTTATGAGATCAGATGTATGCTCAAGTTCTAAAGCATATCTCAAATGTCATAATACGAAAACATTTTCACAAAAAGTTTTTCTTTTGTGAGCCACCAAAACTATATGGAATTTTGCCTAGACATTTGTTTTCAATACGATTATCATATTATTACTAGGAGAGAAGAGGGATAGCACTAAGTACTGTCTAATTAAAAGGCATAAGAATAATTTGACCCTAAACATGATCAAATTTGTGCTCAAATAAAACAATTAACACTACTTGACACGGATGCTACTACCGTTACCATGTTGGCAACGTGGCCGTCGACCAAGTCCGCAGCCAGCTGCCTAGCGTAGCAGCTAACACAACTGCGAGGCAGCTACTGTCTACCAGAGGCGTACCGCCGCCGCCCGCATTTACGTGGATTGGATCATTCAGTGGCTATCCCGTTAGACGGAAGATTTCTCCCGTCTCCGTCTCGTCCACGCAATGAGTACTAAATTACTAATCTCGTTCGTCAAACCCCCGGGCGAGGGCGAGCGAGCGGGGCCCACATCCAAAATAAAATTGACTTCAAAGTTAAGATCACATGGTGACCTGGTTGGGTTTGGAATTGGGACCCACCCCCCCCACCGCGTATCTGCTGTCCCCCGCCCCCACTCCTAGTCCTAAGCCGACGGCCCAAAATTCACATCGTTGCTAACAATAATATGTAAACCAATGTTTTGAAATTCCGTTGATTGCATCGATGGGGTGTTCGATCGAGGTGTAATTGGTCCGATCGATTCAATTTTGGTTCAATAAATTTTTTAAAAAATAATATATATAAATATATATACACAAAAATATGATATGCATTGGATTAATTTAAAATTTTATATGATAAAATGTTTAATATTTTCAAAAAGCTTGAATTTTTACAAATAAAATTTTAAAATTATAAGTTAAAACAAATAAATTTCATTTTAATCTTAATTGAATTTACCAAAAAATAATCTTATATCCAACCAAAAAATATCACAATATTCTACAATTATACAAAATTCACGTGTATGGAAATTAAACATCGTGAGTTTAAATTTTAATTCACATTTTTTATATTTAAATAGTGCAACTTAAAAAAAAAAGATTGGAGTTTGGAGGAAATCAGGAAAATAGAAAATAGAAATACAAATTTGATAAGAGAAAAAAATAAGAAGAAAGTGAGTGGATGTTATATTTAATAATTAGTCTTTAATATTAAGAAAAACTTATTTTTTTAATTTAATAGATTAAAAAAAATCACTGGTTTAATAGTTCAATCCGATTCATAAGATTCAATTCAATTTTTAAGTCTAATTAATTCAATGTATGAACTGGACCAGAGTTACAACCGGTTCCGGTCCACCTGTCGAACCTCCGGTCCGGTCCGGTTTCCAAAAATACATTGGTGTAAACCACAGTAGTACACCCTAGATCCGTCGTAACCCCTCCTCTTTTTAGTCATCCCAAGCCGACTCCTCCATTCTCTCTTTCGCTCTCTCTTTGTTCACCTGGTTCTTTTTTCTCCTCTCAGGCCAGGTTGGTTACCCTCCCCTCGACTCTCTCTCTCTCTCGCTCTCCCAAAACAATACAAATACAAGCGCTAAACAGTGTAAAATTCTCCACTTGAGAGGAGGAGTTGGGAGGGGTAAATTCCTGAAAGGAGAAAAATGAACGGTGGAGATTTGACGAGTCAACAACAGCAGCATCCGCATCAGCATCAGCAGCAGCAACAGCAGCAGCAGCATCATCAGCAGTGGATGGCGATGCAGCAGCAATGGATGTCCATGCACATGCAGTATCCGGCTGCTGCTATGGTGATGCAGCAGCAAATGATGTATGACCGGCAATACGTGCCGGCGGCGGCTTACTATCATCACCAACTCTATCAACAGCAGCACCAACTCTATCAACCACAGCCGCAGCACAAGCAGCAGAGTCAGATTCAAAATTCCAGCGAGGAGAACCGCACGATCTGGATTGGCGATCTCCAGCAGTGGATGGATGAAGCTTATCTTCTGTCTTGCTTCTCTCAGGCCTCGGAGGTTGGGTTTATTGCATCCTTCTATTCGTTAAATGCTGTAATTCGCGTTAAAACATCTGTTGTTGTCGATTTATATACTACTTAAAATATCTTATTTCTAGAAGTTCCGTAGAGTATTAGTGACGGTTCATTAATCGAATGTGGATAGTTTAGTGTTTCATACTTTATCTACAGTTTACTGACCAATTAGCTATTTAAGTGGATATTGACTGCTTTTCTTTCTCTATTGGAGTATTAACCTCTTCATAGTCATTCTAAATGTATTATAGATTCAGATCTGGTATTTTGAAGGATCCAGCTGTTTGTTGGTCGTAACTGTGCTGTTGTTTTGTACTGTTTGTCTTTCATGACAAATGGAAGAAAAGCTAGGAAACTAACGCCTATACGCACACAATTATTGGATGAGAAACTGTCTGAGTTGATTATTTCGTAGGCAACAATATCGTGCCCAAGCACTT